AGCTCCAGGTCGAGCTGTTGTTCAGCATCTTAGCTGTGGAGGGCAGTGTCACTGGCCCTCATATGTGGGATCCGAACCGGGGCCCTCTGGCATCCGAAGCCAGTTCTTAACAAACTGCATAGCCCTCTTTTAATCAGTTACTTTTATTAATGATCCAAGCATCTAAGAAGCCATTGTCCCAAGTAAAAGTTAGGACCTCACAGTATCCTGCATCTTTTCATATGGTTGTTCCCAGTCTCTGCCTAACCCCTGGCCCAGGTAGCCATCACTCTGAATCCCATGTTCATTAGTTACCCCAGTTGTTTTTTAACATTATAAGTGTATCGTGCTGTATGTAGTCTTTGGGAATTTGTTTTGTCCACCTAACATTGTATTACTAAGAGTCACCCATTGCTTGTCCCTCAAGTTCATTTTGAGTGCTATATAACATCCCATTGTGTAAATGTACCACAGTTTGTCTGTTCCTGTTGATGTGCTTTGCTGCTATTCCCATGGTTTTTGCAATTATGGACAGTACTGCTATGAACCATTTTTATAAGCCCCTGTTGTACGTGTGCAAGAGTTTTTCTTAGGAATACACCGAAGAGTGGAATTGCTGGATCTTTGTTCAGCTCCATTTTAAGAGACAATAACATCTGTTTTCCAAAGTAGGTCACAAGTTAACACCTACCGGCAGGTATAAGAGATTCTGTAGGTCTCCATCTTCTTCAACAACATTTAACTTTTGCCAGTCAAATGGGGGAGTAAATTGAAATGGTCTTGATATGCCATTCTTGATTTCAAGTTATGTGAAACATCTCTCTATATGTTTATCGGCCATGTGTTTCATCCTCTGTGAAATTCCTAGTTTTTGTTACCAATGCTTTTATTTATCTGTGGGAGTTTGTGTGTCTGTGTATATGTGTGTGTGTGTGTGTGTGTGTCTGTGTATATATATATATATATATACATACATATACACAGACACACACACACACACACAGATAGGACTTTACTTATATAGGACTCTTGCTTTTCATTTCTTGGGTTAGTTCTGGTGAGTTGTATTTTCCTAGGGGTGTTTCTCTTTTATCTGAGTGTTCAAAAATTGTCGATCTATGGTTATTGTTAATACTTTCTTAATATCTTTTTGATCTTTATCATTATGTTCCCTTTTCATTTACAGTATTATTTCAAGTCCTCTCTTTTATTTGCTTTCTTTGGGGTTTGTTCTTCTGTTCTTTTCTAATTTCTTAAGATGGATACTTAACTGTTTTCTCTATTAATATAAATATTTAAGCCTATAACTTTCCCTCAAAGCACAACTTTTACTTTGAATCTCACAAATTTTAATATATATGATTCCATTATGGCAGAAATTCTCAAAAATGTGATCCAGATCCTGAGGAGACACATACACACACACACACACACACACACACACACACCCAAGTTCTTTATCCATTCATCCATCAATGGACACTTACATTGCTTCCATATCTTGGCTATTGTAAATAATGCTGCAGTGACCATGGTTTGCAGATACCTCTTTGAGATAGTGTTCTTATGTCCTTCATATAAATACGCAGAAGTGGGATTGCTAGGTCATAAGATAGTTCTATTTTTAATTTTCTGAGGAACCTCCATACTGTTTTCCATAGTGGCTGTACCAGTTTACATTCGCATCAACAGTCCACAAGTGTTCCCTTTTCTCCACATCCTTGCCAACACTCGTTATTGCTTGTCTTTTGGTAATAGCCATTCTAAAAGTTGTGAGGTAGTATCGCATTGTGGTTTTGACTTGCATTTCTCTGATGATAAGTGATGTGGAGCCATTCTAGTGGATGTGAAGTAGATCTCATTGTGATTTGCATTTCCCTAATGTAGAGTGTCTTTCCGTGTGCTCATTGACCATATATATATAGACAGACAATTAAGTTCACGAACTCATCCTAGAAAAAGTGCTACATACCTCATTGCTGAATATCACTACGGTCACCTTCAAAGTACTCCCCTTGGGAAGCTCCTAGCCTAGTCCACCCTTCAAAGCAATTTTGGAACTCTTTTTCTGGAATGGCCATCAGAGCTGTATTACCCTTGATCCTGAATGTCATCAAAATGTCTTCTTTTGGGATGACCAGTGAGCTCAGTTGGTTAGAGTGCAGTGCTCACACCACCAAGGTTGCCAGTTCGATCCCCGTATGGGCCGCTGAGCTGCACTCTCCACAACTAGATTGTAGACAACTATTTGACTTGGAGCAGATGGGCCCTGCAAAAACACACTGTTCCCAATTTAAAAAAAAAAAAAGATGTAAAATGTATTTTTTTAAAAAGCCTTCTTTTCAATATTTCCTTTTATCTTCGGGTAAAGAAAGAAGTCATTGGGGGCTAGGTCAGGTGAGTAGGGAGGGTGATCCAATACAGTTATTTGTTTACTAGCTAAAAACTCCCTCACAGACAGTGCCATGTGAGCTGGTACATTGTCGTGATGCAGGAGCCATGAATTGTTGGCAAAAAGTTCAGGTCGTCTAACTTTTTCACACAGCCATTTCAGCCCTTCCAAATAGTAAACTTGGTTATTAACTGCTTGTCCAGTTGGTACAAATTCATAATAAATAATCCCTCTAATATCAAAAAAAGTTAGCAACATCATTGCAACAAGTTCATGAACTTAATTGTCAGACCGCGCGCACGCGCGCGCGCACACACCCCCGGGGAGGGGGGGCGCCAAAAAAATGTATGCAAGTGGACACTTTGGTCAGCGTTGCTCAAGCAGTAGTTCCTCGTAATCAGAAGTGTCTGGATGCTGATGGTAACCACTTTGAGCACCTCTTGTAATGGCAGAAGTCAAACGTGACTTGTATTCACCCTTTGTTTGGTAGATGTTGAGTATTACAATTGTAATAGTTTTTTCCTTTCTTAAAATGTGTAAAAAAAAATGTACATACTTTTTTTGTCACCCTCTGTGTGTGTGTGTGTGTGTGTGTATACATATACATATACTTTTTTTTTTCATTCTTTGGTGTGTGTATATATATTTTTTTATATAAATTTTATATAAATTTTTTTTTTCATTCTTTGGAAAATGTCCACTCATATCCTTTGACCATGTTTTAATTGGGTTACTTGTCTTTTTTTTGTTATTAGAGTTCTTTATATATCCTAGATACTTGATCTTTATCAGACATATAATTTGTAAATATTTTCTTCCATGATCTGTGTTGTCTTTTCACTTTCTTGGTAGTGCCCTATGAAGCACAAAGTTTTTAATTTTGATTAAGTCCAATTTATTTTCTCTTTGGTTGCTTGTGCTTTGAAGTCATATGAAACAAACCAATGTCTAATCAAAGGTCATAGAAATTTACACCTGTTTTCTTCTAAGAATTTTATAGTTTTAGCTCTTACATTTACGTCTTTGATCCATTTTGAGCTAATATTTTGCATGTGGTATGAGGTAGGGGTAACTTGACTCTTTCACGTAGATACCCAGTTGTCCCAACACCATTTGTTGAAAAGACTATTCTTATCCCATCAAATGTTCTTGGCACCTTTGTCAAGAATCAATTTACCATAAATGTGTGGGTTGTATGGGTTTATTTCTGGAATTTCAGTTCTACTCCATTGAGCTGTATAGCTATCCTTCTGACAGTTGCATACAGTGTACACGGTTATACT